ACGCAGAAATAGATCTGCAGTAATTAATACGCTTGGAAGTTGGCTGACGTCGAAAATTATATAAATGCTTAATTTAGATGTGAAGAAGATATTCATAATTGCAACATTAAACACGTCCACTGTATGTCATATATAGAGTATTCTATACTAACTTTTGATTAACAATAAAAAATTGTTTCGATGAAAGTTGGGGTAGGCAGTGGCGGTTTTGTTCGTAAATTTCTTAGGAAGTAGTGTTTGATTTTGCCTCACTGTTAGTTTTTCCTAAAGTGCTGTCGCAGGAGGATCTTAACCAGAATAGTTTAATTCCGCTGAATTCGTTTACAAGGCAAACGGAAGTCATTATTCGGAGTCGTGCACAAGAAGACTGACGTTCTGATTGAAAACAAAGTAAAAGTACAAGGCGCGTAGATTGCTTGAAAAAGTAAGAATTGGTATTTTTAAGGAAACATTCTCAGTGCAAACGACGACTTACGATTCTATCTTAACTAGAAATGACTTTCATGAGATATAGATATCCCAACTGACAAAGCTCAGACTGTCCCTCATCATCCTCCTACTTTCTTTTTTTTGCCATTTCTACCTTTTTTTACATTTCAAAGCAAATTAGAGAATAGCAACAACTTTTCTTTCAGCCTGGCCCGACCGAAATTAGTTTACTTTTGTAATGTACACATAATCTTTTGTACGATTTACTTTTACTCGGCTCATTTTCTTCGTCTCAGATGGGATTTGCGGCTGCCGCTCCGTTTGTTTTCAAATCTTTAACTTGTCCCTTGGCGGGAGTCATTGCTGACCTTCTCAGGCGGATTATTCTTTCTACCAAGACGGTGAGACACGTGTTCTACACAACAGGTATAGCACAATTTTTAAAAGTGGGAAATGGTAAAGCATAATCCCAGTGGTATCAGGCGAAATGCTCGCGAAATGGTCCTGAAGTAAGAAACCGTTATAGCAGACCTGAAACGTCTTTTGAGTTACATGGCGGATGGCATTAACATTAGGTCTTCGTTATAGTGTAAATGGTTTTCATTATCCTGCGTCCTGTACGTACGCCTTTACTCCTTTTGTCAGAAGTTGATCACCTTGATGAACTCTATGCAAATAAAATTGCTTTCTCGTAAATATGAGATTCAAACCAACAAATACATTTTTTCTTGACGTGGAATGCCACAGGAATAGCCAATAAAACGAAAACAGTCTTTAATTAACCAAGACATCTAACTGACGATCCTCCGCTTGCCAAGTATACCGGGTACTTTGTATATGATCGCATTTTGTTTTGCAGGTGCAGTTACCGGTGGACTATTTATTCTAATAGCGGGCTATTTCAAGAATCCTGATGCTGTGATAGGTTGCATGTGCGTTAGCGGAGCTGCCCTCGGATTGGTTTATGCGGGCTTCCAAGTAAACATGTTAGATATAGCGCCGAGAAACGCGTCTATCGTCATGGGCATCGTGAACGCGGCCAGTAACACCGCTGGCTTTCTCAGTCCCATGTTGGTTGGGTTCATAACGCATCACAAGGTTCGATCCACTAAATAGCTTTGCTCGGCTGATAGTATCACTCTGTTGTGTGTCTTTTCCATGTGTGTCATGGTACTCCTCCCTCCCGTGTACTAGAGGTTTATTTACGAGTTCTCAACCAGCGCATTCTTCGCGCCGTTAAAGAGATGAACGGGGATATCACAAGTTAACGAAGTGTATTCTTTTTATGTAATTGATTAATTGGTAACAACTGTCTACTCTGCCTGGAATACGATGAATTTAAAAATTATGATGATTACAAAAAATATGATGAGAAAGGTCTATTTAAGATCCCCTCTAGGGG